CGAGGTTTGCGCTGTCGACGGGAAGACCGACGCTGGAGAGTGTGCATATGCTCTTTCAGTTCTTACAGATGGAGCATAAAAAACTGCTACGGGAGGAAGACTGGCAGCTTTTGAGGAGTCTGCGAATGTCCACCCTGAAAAGAGAAAAGCAACGTGTCGAAATCTGCTTCCAATTAGCAAATCACGTGGTCGACACTTCGATTCTTCGCAGTATGGCGGATGGGTTGCGCGAGTATCTGGTCGCGAAGACGTCGAAGGAGGAGGACACGGATGATTATCCTCAGGTTGAGTTTGAGATTACAGCGCTTTATTTCCCCAACTGCCGCTTTTTAAATGGAGCGGAGGATTTAAAGTTACTCGCACTGATTGTCACACTTTCATCGTCAATAATCCGCAGTCTGATGCTGCCCGGGGCGTTTTTCAACTCGCTGCGGAATCCTGCGGGGCTGTTGGGCTTCCAGTCTTTTGCTAGACAAGTGCTGGCACCGTCTTCGCCTCTGCGATCGCTGGACCTGACACGCGTGGGGATTGATAGCAACTGTCTGGCGTCTTTATGCTCTGCGTTGCGCTATTCCTCGAGGCTAACGAAGCTGTCTATTGGCCACACCATTCGCGGTGCACATATGAACTCTCGTTTGGACTGGGCCTGGATCTGTCTGGCTGTATTCCACGTAGACTCAGGCTGTGAGTTGGCGCATTTCGACGCTTCCGGGCTGCAATTACCAACTTACGTCGTGGAAATACTCACCGCGATGCTCGCCTCTCCTCATCCTGGGCGGACTGTGTTGCTCTTGCAAGACGGATGCTTACCTGAGGGAGAAGGCTGTGAAGAGTGCGAATTGCCTCCAAACGCGCGCCTATTCGTTCGGCTTCTTGACGGTGCCCAGGCGTGGACAAGTCCGGGTGCTTCTGTTGCATGGCCACAGTTGCTACCGGAGACACTACAGCCAAGTGACTTTGAATACGAAGTCATGGTGCGTTTGACCGACTGGCTGTGTATTTTGATTCCAGGATATGGATTCGGTTGGGTGGTCAGAAGTGCGGTAAGGTATCACGTTTCAAAACCATCGCACGTGAAGAGAAGATCTGGCGTAAGAGCAAGGTCAGGACTGCGGTCGCTCACCTATTGTGGGTTGCAGGAGCAAAGCGAAGGCGTGGTGGGTCTGCTGCGTCTTTTAGGAAGCTCCTTGACCTCCGTGGTTGTCCCATTCTGTGGACTTGACTCGCAAGCCCTGGAGATAATTTTGTCAGCGTGTCCAAATCTCACCAGCTTGAACATGACCGGCAACGTCATGAATGACTTGTCACCTTTACTATGCGCCATTAAAAAAGGTCGATGCCACATTGAGAGTCTGGGGGTGTTTGTGGAATGTGTGAATGCCACCATTGCGGCTCAGCTCCAAGAGTTGCTTTTGCAACCTAACTCTAAGTGCTTACAGGGTCTTCAGCTTGAAACCACCAACACGGAAGCGGACAGCAACAACAGCGAGAAGAGGATTTGGACTCAAATTGAACGAGCTCTTGCTAGCTCAAGTCTACGCTGTTTACACTTATCAGTGCCACCTGCGGACACGTACGAAGCTGCAACGTCGTTGATCACGCCGCTTCATGGGCAAATATTACGTTTCATTACACCGATGCGACTCAAGATTGCATTTCTCAGCGTCGTAGAGCATGCATCGTCGCCTTTGTTGGTAAGTGCGCTAGATCACATGGTGCTATCCAATGTTTTCTCGTTCGCCACCACCTCGGCAACACGTCGTCAAATCAATGTGCGCCGCTGATGGAGCAGGGTTAACTCCGCGGTGCAAGTTTCGCTGCTTGCGAGCGCATGCGTTGCAATCCAGGTTTAACATGCACACTTCTCGGTACAAGACCAGGCTTTCAGCCCAGCAAATCTGGACATTCCAAACATGTATGTGAACTTAACAGGGTTCCTAAAAATTTAATTTATATGTCTAATGAGAATAGATACCTGCATGGTAAATCGTAAATCTGCAAATATATACTACAGTAAGCGGCTGTGGAAAATAAATTACACCGTTCACTCTAATTCGTGCATTCGCGCTTTACAACGTTCACGCTAATTAGTCGTACCCTGACTAATTGTGGTGTGCAGATCGAAGCCCTTTATTCTGGGATTTCCTTGTCCATTTTGTAAGAACTACCTGTCTAATTTTTAAACCGAGCATACTGGAACAAAGAGCTCTATGAGATCTGCTCAAAACCGGTCTTTTTCTTTATTTTTGTCGAATATCCCGAATTTGTGATGTCACTAAAGTGCAATTTCACGACAAATTGCGAACTACGACTAATTAGCGTGAACGGTGTAGTGACGTCACAAATCTGTGATTTTTTAGAAGGCTCATCAATTCTAAACAATAGCAACGGATCTCGGCAATTGCTTTATTCTAGTATGCTTGGCTTCAAATATGAACTAGTAGTTCTTAAATAGCGGGCAGCCAAAATTCTGTGCTCCAACCTAAACATCATTTTTAGTCATGGCATGACTAATCAGATACAGTACTGCACCCCGTTTTCGCGGGGGTGGACCATATAGGATTTGCAAATAAATCAGACTTTAGCTAACGTAATTTGCCAGTTGAGTGCGTGATGCCAATTGCGTGCACGATGCAGAATTTCTGCCAGTTGTAATGCTTAAAATCAAAAATGTGCAATTGGATTAGTTGATCTCATTTAAGTCACATCAGTGCACGCTTTTCCACAACCAACTGAATATAATCCACATTATTCCGACTCATCATTTTTAAAAGGGTATTCGATTCTGACCAACCGCAGCCCATTCATTCACAAGCCACGAAGCCATGGGAGCAGACGACGAAGACGTGGAGTCTACAACGCTGCGCCGAGGGGGAACCTACACGCTTGAAGACCTCCTCATAGCTCTCAAAAGAGCTACTAAAGGGGAGGAATATGCTGTCGTGTCGCGCATGACCAACATCCCGTTGAGAACGTTGTTCAAGAAGGCGAAAGAACAGAGAGAAGGGAAGGATCTGACGGGTAGTCGTCGTGGGACCAAGCCAACGTTGCCTATGGAGCTAGAAGATGACCTGGTGGAATAGGTGTGTGCTATGCAGCGAGTTGGCTTACCTGTTGGGCCGTCTGCCATATTGGCCAAGGCTAACGAAGTTTACATTGCAACGCTGCCCATGCCAACTCGCTCGACAGAACCAGCGACGCCGCTCACGGCGGGCTAGTACCGGCGTTTCTTAGGAAGGCACCCACAGCTGACACCTCGGGTCGCTCAGCAGATCGCCCGCGTCCGCAATAACGTTGAGGCAGGGGCTGTGCGTGGCCTCTTCTACACTATGGCGCAGCTTGTTATCAAGCATAAGTTGGATAAGAGTCGCGTTTCCAACATGGACGAAACGGCGTTTATGCCGAAGGCATCTACGCGGAAGGTTGTGGCGTTGAAAGGGTCGTCCAATGTGTGGACACAAGAGTCTAAGGCAAATTTTCACATGACCGTGGTAGCTGCTGTGAATGCGGCAGGCGACGCAGTACCTCCCTTGCTTATTTTGCCGGGGCAGAGGATTTATCGAGAGGAAATGGCTGCCATATCCATTGACAACACAACTGTGACTGGTGCACCCAAAGGTTTCAGTAATACCGGTATATTTTAGCTCTGAATGAAGACGTTTGACTCGTATTTGACAAGCAACAACGTGAAGCGTCCCGTGGTCCTGGTCCTGGACAACAGTTCGACTCATGTCGAAATCGGTAAGTGCTTTTATACTTTATTGGAATTATTTTAATTATTAACAAAAATTTTGTAATAATCAATTTTGACGGGTTAATTTATTTCAGGTGAAGTTTCCGTTTGGTCACACAGAGGAATTTTGCTCGTCGGCCTCCCTCCAAATGCCACTCACCTCTATCAGCCTCTTGACGTGGCTGTTTTCAAGCCTTTCAAGAGCATGGTGAAATCTACTTTACAAGCCAAAATGCGGCACAGTTCGGACTGTACTATTGCAAAATCGGGTGCCATCGAGATAGCGTGCCATGCGTATCGTAACGCGGTGATGACAAGCCCTGAAAACGCTGTAAATGGCTTCAGAACCACGGGAATCTATCCACCATCCTTGCCTAGTATGCAGGCTCGTTTACGACTGTTTGCGAGCGGTGGAGCACGCGGAGACATTGGAAGGGCGGCATGGCTCAAGCGAAAGCGTGAAATTCAAGAAGATATACGTAGCAGCATATTACAGCTGCCACCAGCACCTCGCACTAAAGGCAAATGCTCACGACGCACCGTGGACTTTGTAGGGCGTCTTATAACCAAGGAGATGCTGCTTCAGGGTAAGCTTTAGTCGATAGCCAGAACCGTGCACAAAACTGATAGCCTCAAATTCCATCCTCACTTTTGACTAGCCATTGCACCTCACATGTTCGTTTGTAAAAAAACGCAAAAATAAGTATTAGATGCGTTGGTTTTCCCTTTTTGATTTCCAAAGACCCAATTCAAACAACAATTGGTGCCTTTTTCGCTAGATGCACCTTTTGAACATGCCCAAAATCAGGCACTCAACTGGCAAATTACGTTAGCAAACAATGGTCTATTTGGATCTAGGATCATCATATTCGGAAGCTTATCCAAGGTCCAAGGGCGCGAAAACGGGGGTGGACCATATAGATTTGCAAATAAATCAGACTTTAGCTAGCAAACAATGTGAAGAAGGCCAGCAAGTTTATTTTTATAGCGAACTTAATTTAATAAGTACGATCAAGTTTGCAGGCTGGTTAAGCTACACTACTACTCAAGGATGCCCATGCCATCCGGGCACACTTTGGTGACTTGACCACCGCGCTAGCAATTACCGTCAACGCCAACATGAGATCCTAGATCCCGACTATCATCTCTTCGGTGACTTAAACACCACGCCAACACTCACTGTCAGTGCCACCACGAGCTCACACATCTCGTTTTCGTTTTTACCGCTGCGCTTTGCTATAGCGTGTGCGTTCACTGCCATGGTCTTCCAATTTTACGAAGACCCAGTCTGCCTTAGAGAGCAACCGTGACGTCGTTTGTGACGGCTTTGGTCAGGAGGTCAGCAATGTGATCTTTCGTGCTCACATACTCAATGGCGACCTCTTTGATAGCGATCATTTCACGCACAAAGTGTTAAAGGGTGTCAATACATTTCATTCGTGAGTGCTGAATATAATTGTTTGCCACGGCGATGATTGACGGCTATCCACATTGATGATGGTCGAATTTTGCTCCTTTCCAAGCTCGCTCAGTAGTTCACGAAGAAATAGTACTTCATTTGTACCATACGAACGGCACGACTACGGATCATAGTGGGGCACTGAAACCGGCCACGAACGAAGTGATAAACATAGCAGTAGTGGGGCAGGCGCGGAAGTTGATGCGGAGTTAGAAGAAAAGGCAGCGTGTGCAACGTGCCTTGGTACGGCGACGTGAAGAGGCCCGTACGGAGGAAGAACAACTACGCGCTGGAGGAAATGTCCGAACTCGACGGCAGTACGAGGTCAACTGGGCGCTATACGAACTGGAAGAGCGAGTGCAACAACGAAGAGGTGACGAAAGTGGGGTGTTACATGGTTCCGGGGCACGAGCGCAGTCAGATGATGAGCCTGCACGAGTACGGTTAGTGCAGCGACGAACCGATCTGGCGGAGTATGACGAGGATATGCAGTATGTGGAGGCAGACGACGGTCTTCCTACAACTACGATGGAGATGTCGGGTACCAGTAGGCACGTCATGCTGGACAGCGGCGCGAGATTGGTTAGCTATTTTTGGGGTCGTTTACGGGTAGGGCCTGATAATTGGGTCAGGCGGGTTTCCTGACGGCCCTACCAAACACAGGACCAATTGCTAAGCTACATATTGAAGTGAAAGATATGAAGCTAAGCAGTTGGGTTAAAATGCTTAGACCACGATGGTCTGCGCGGCACGAGGTTGGTCGGCTTCAGTGTCGCATTCATCGGCATCACTGTCATTGCTGATCACATCTGCGCCCAAATTCGTAGCAGCAGCGTCCTCTTCGCTGCTAGTACCAGAGACGCCCTCGTTGTCATCATCACTGTCGACATCTACAGCCTCGTCATCTTCTTCACTGCTCGATTCTTCTTCTTATGTAGGAGGATCCTGTTGGAAATGGAACCTGACCCAATAATCAGGCCTGACCTGTATACGACCCCGTTAAAATTCTACCGCGAGATTCACAGTGGCAGGTACCGACTGGATGGCCCACGGTGATAGAATATCTGTGAAGGCACCTGTGGACTACATTGAAGGGACTGGTGGCTTCTTGCTGGATGTCGTCGGTGTATGGCGGTTTGAACTGAAGGCGGTGTTCGGCGAGGAAGCGTGCATGGATGCGTGCATTGTGAAAGGCTGGACGAGCGAGTTCCTACTTGGCATGGACTTCATGGATGAGCATAAGGCGACTATGGACTTTGGGCTAAATGAGTTGAAGTACACGTCGAACGACCGTACCGTGTTGGTACCATTCCAAACGTTTGACAAGGCTAAGGGTGTGACCGTGGCGACAGTACGCATGGCACGAACAACGAAGTAGGGCATCGGTATGATAACGCCAATTGAGGTCGCGGTCACGGCGGAGGATGGTGAGACCGGCATCTTCCTACCCACAAAGTGGATTGGTTCAGTTATGCTGGCGGCTACAGTGACGAAGGCCCGCGCTGGTAAGGCGTGGATTCCGGCGATCAATCCAAGTGGAGGTCGCGTGAAGCTGCCGTCCAAACGGGAGCTGGTGACGTGGATTCCCTACG